ATTTCAGGGAGGGGGGCGAATCAGCCAATCAGATTTCTTTGCCCTGTAATTTGACCCACTAAGGTTCTTTTTGGTCGGGATTTCGACCAATAAGATTTTTTGACATTGTGGTTTCAACCAATGGGATTTCAGAGGAGGAGACAAATCAGCCAATCAGATTTCGTTTTTATTTGTTATCAGGTATTATGGTTTACGCTTGTTCCCTTTTCTAAAAGAAACGGTTATACGGCGGTAAATATCCTTAAAGTTTGTCTGTCCGTCTCTCCGCCTGTCTATCCTAACCAATCAGAAAATAGAGATGCGTATATCAACTAGACTAGTGTTTCACAAATCGTAAAAATCTTTACCATGGGTTTTTGTGGTCAAGGAATCGAATGGTGACATTAGTTTTTGAAAATTTTTTCAAATAGATGTTTTTTACGAAAAAGAGAGGTTTTTTAGCAAAAAAAATGTTTTTCTTATAAAGTTTGATCAAACGTTTCCAAGGTCGAAGAATCGATTGGTAGTATTAGTTTTGAAAATTGTTTGAAATCATTTTTTTGGTAAAAAAAGACGTTTTTTTTATAAAGTTTGAACAAACGTCTTCGAGATCGACGAATCTGAATCCGTGATTAGTTTTTGAGAGAGACCTTTTTACGCAAGGAAAAAGTTTTTTACGAAAAAAACTGTTTGCTATAAGGTTTGACCAAAGACTTCAGAGATTGAGAAATCTGAGTCCGTCACGAGTTTTCGTAAAAGTTTTTGAAATGAGTTTTTGGCTACGGAAGGGTTTTTTAAGAAAATAATGATTTTTTTCTTAGATTGAAGGAGAGAGATGATATAACATACAATAAATTTGCAGTTCTACATGTATGACTGATTCTAAAGTCTGTCTGTATATTTGTGCACCCTAGCCAATGCGAAAACGGTGTCGACTAGATTGATATGAAAAGCTTCTGATAGTCTATAAAAAACTCTACGAAAAGTAATCGAAGGAAAATATAGCAAATCTGAATCAAATGTGATTTTAATAACAAGTTAATAAACAATTAGAAATTACTTTTATACTTTTCTTAATAAGTTTAATCCAAGATCGATAAGTCAAAACTCAGTTGTTTTTATCAAATAAGTAATAGTAAGTAATATTAACTGTCTTCAGTAAAACTCTACTGAAGAGAATCGTCTATCAGGAATGCAAATCTGAGTTCAGCTTTCCAATATTGACAGTTATTAATTAATGATAAATTAATGTATCATTGTTTTCTATAAAACTTGGCTGATCATTATCGAGCATGGAAAATGCGAATTCGAAGTTAATCGAAGTCTTTTTTGGCCTTTTTAAAACTTCTTTTAATGAATTCCTTGTTATTTTAAGCTTGACTTAAGGATAGTCGAGGGTCGCGAATTCATGCTCGAGATTGTTTTTAATATAAGTATTTTTCCTTGTTGATTACAAAACGCCAGGTCTTTGGGTAAGATTTATACATACATATGTAGAAAACGAAGTGGTCACTTGAAGTCCAGTTATTGACTCTTCGTAGGCATCAAATGTAAAATAACATTTAAAATAGACGAAAATCTTTTCTAAGCGACAATGTAATGTACTCTATTTGTAGCAGTTTATAAATAGTTCTCTTTTTTTAGTTTCTTCTTGATGAGGGTATTAACATATGCTCAGTAAATTTTCGAAAGGAATTCAAACGGGGTGCATCTATTCGCTTCAAACCTGAAGTAATATCGAACAATTTAATGGTGTTAAATATGGGCACGGCTAGTCGTGAGTGGCCGACCGGAGGGAGGCCGACGAACGACTA